CTGCGCTGCCCCTGCCCTCTGCGCTGCCCCTGCCCCCTGCACTGCCCTGCTGGAATGCCGGCACAAGGGGTGCTGGCTGCCAGAAAGCAGCCCGAAGGAAGCGCTAGTTACCTTCCCTAGTTAACCCTCCTCACCTTCACCTGCCGGCCCTCCGTGCCCTGTGGGAAGGTGAGGTGGCGTTTTCTGGCAACTGACCTCATACAGCACAGGAAATTCAAATGAGTAGATGGAAGGCAATTAACTGCAGCGTCGCTCTGCCCAGTTACTCCAAAGCCTGAAGCTGAGGGAGCATGAAATGTGTGGTTCTTAGGCCTGTGACTGCGTTTAAGGGTGGGTCTCTTGGGGTGCTGTTGCTCCACTGGGGCCTCAGTTTAAGAAAGGGGGATGTCTAGGTGAGGACGTGAACCTAAACCTCTAAAAAGGCTGTGGAGTCCCCTTCTCTGGAGATTTTCAAGACCCACCTGGGTGCAATCCTGAGTAATATGCTCCGGGCAATCCTGCTTTAGAGGGGGAGTTGGATTAGATGATCCCTAGAGGTGCCTTCCAACTCAGACAATTCCATGCTTCCGTGAAAACACCCATTCTTTATGCTACTGTGATACAGATCTTTTGTACAAATTTGAGAGTCCCTGCAGCTGAGGCGCTGGAGAGATGCTTAAGTATCTTAATTCTATTTATTGTAGCAGGTCACTAATATTCCAGGGAGTCTTTGTATAGAATGGTAAGATTCCTATTTAAAAAAGGAGAGGATAGTAGCTCCCTGTGTTAGGAAGGCTGAAGTACTTCTCTGTAGGTCTGAACAACCTGATTTGTTGCAGCTGGAGCAGCTTGAAAATCAGTGGCTAATGAAGTGATTGGAATGTCTGTGGCTCATCAAGGGTCTGTGTGAGACACCCCTGTTACTGATGGAGCCAGGGCACACCTGGAGGCATTTAAAGACATACACCATTTATGAACAAAAAACTGCTTCTATTAGTGGTTAGAGTTTGCATGTGTGCAGAGAGTATGGATAAAAATAATGAAACAAAATTCATAACAGAAAATGGTGTACACTGTACATAATTTTAAGCAAAAGTGTAAGGCATGTTCTTCACTATATAAAGAAAGCCATTGGAAAGCTGAGCCCCAGCGTGTGCTGTTTGTTTGCACGTGGTATCTAATGGCTGTCTAATGTGATGCTGTTTATAAATGTCACAAGTTTCAGGCTCCCCAGGCAGTGGTCAGGACACCAAGCCTGGCAGAGTTCAAGGAACATCATGCTCTTAGTCAGTCCTATGGTTTAGGTAGTCCTGCAGGGAGCTGGACTCCATGATCCTTATGGGTCCCTTCCAGCCCAAGATACTCCATGACTCTGTGTGACAAATTAGTGTTAACTGAATTACACAACTGTGCAGGGTTTGGTGTCCTTGGGACTAAAGAAAGATGCTCCGAAGCTGTTGGTAGTGGACAGCAGTTGAGCACCTTTCTTGTGTAGCGTTGGCGGAAGATGCCTGAACAACCAGTGCTTTGTGGTGGTGGTGTAGGAATAAACCCATAAAACTGACCAGTTCTTGTTTTATGATACAATATAGGGATTAGAAAAGGTGTATGTTCTAGTATGTTATGGCAACATTTGTGTGGCTTTAAAAAAAAAATAACTTTCCTTGTGCTACTGAAAAGTGATTGTCTAAACTTCCTTATGTCTTAGGAACAGAGTTCTCCAGTCCTAGCAAAATGTATCAAAAAGGGAGGGAGACAGTGAAGAACTGTGAACTGGACAGATTTTTCGCTATTTTTTTTTTTTTTTAATAAAAACCAATTTAAAAAAAAAAAAGCAGGAATTAAATGATGAGTGATCTGAGGTGTGGGCCAGAACACAGCAATGCTACTGTCCTCTGTTTTTGCAGTTCTGGTGATTTCTGATGACATGTAGGTTACAGAGGTGGTTAAACCTCTCCCAGTGGGCCCTGCAGAGTTGTCGTGACAGCGTTGACACGCTTGTGCCTAGGCACAGAGGACAGGTTTTTGGGGGAGCTCAGGGCCACAGGGGAAGTGGATGGCTCCCTGAGCTGACTATATTAATAATACAGGAGCCAGAGAGTAAACATTCTTTCTGTGGTTACTTCCAGGCTCTGGGAAAGATGACCACTCTCACGCGGCAGGACCTGAACTTCGGGCAAGGTAATGTGTTGTGCTGCAAACTGGTACGGCTTGGCAAGGCTTCCTGTTGGACATGAGCTTGTGAGATCACAATTGGAGGGTTGCTCTGTCCCTAAACTTCCTGCAGCTAAGGGGAAGCAGGTGAAATTTATTCAGTGAAAAATACCTTAAAAAAAAAAATAATTCCTCTGAGTAGCTGGTATTACTGTGTGTGCTTCCACCCCTCCCTGCTTCAGCATCATTTACTTTTGTTTTTCAGTTGTTGCAGATGTTCTTTCAGAATTTCTGGAAGTGGCTGTTCACCTTATCTTGTATGTCAGAGAAGTTTACCCTATTGGGATCTTTCAGAAGAGGAAAAAATACAATGTACCTGTCCAGGTAGGAGACTGTCCTGGAAGCTGACAGCCGCGTGGAGAAGCGAAATAGTGGGGTTCAGTCAACACTCACCAGAACAAACTAAATCACTTCCAGAGTTTGTTCTAATGTGCAAGCTCATTTTTTGAAGAGAATTTAGTTCCTGTCAAAAGGGAAAGCAGCCTCGTAGCTGAGGATACAGCAGTGCTCATGGAACAAGCAGATCATGGACAGCACTAGTAGGCGGCTTCCCCAGCTATGTGCAGTAAGGTAACACAAAAGCATGCTTCCTAGGAAGTAGAGATGGTTGGAATATGCTATTCCTAATATGCTGTTGTGGGTATATATTCCCAGTATACTACAACTGTGTGGGTACAGTGATCTGCCTCAGCTAATTAACCCCTCCTTGAAAGAGTTACTGGTTTGAAGTGGCAGGTTAGTGGTGAAGAATTCTACTTGAAGCATGACTCAGGTGCCTTGTGACATTGGCACTTCTGCAACATTGGTGCTTCTGTTCAGATCTCCCCGTGTAGCCTTGTCCTGGTTCCCATCAGCACCCAGCCCTGACCATTCTGTGTTTGCTGCAGATGTCCTGCCACCCCGAGCTGAACCAGTACATCCAGGACACGCTGCACTGCGTAAAGCCGCTGCTCGAGAAGGTAAGATCCTATCAGGGGCTGGGCCACAAAGTACTGCAAGTGGTTTTGATAGAAAATCAGAGAACAGAAATACTGTCTTCATTGCAAAATTTATTTACAAATTTATTATACACAATGTATGAGCTGATAAAGGTACTAATAAAAATAAAAATATCATCCATAAGTTTCCCTTGCAGTTAAGGCCCAGCCTTACTGCTGACCATTGGCATTTAGTTACATCTAATACATGCACATGAGGAGATGCAGCTATATATCTTCAGTCACATCATCCTACATGTTAACATTGTGCTTTTGAATACATTCAAGTACCAGTCTGGCAGAATAGTTGACTGCTTTGCTGTAAGCCAGCAAGCAAAGGTAGGTTTGAATTCTAGGTTTTGTGAGAGAAAGATGTGTCCGTAAGAAACTGCAGATTTTGCATTCTCTACTTTTTAGAGACAACCTTAATGCACATTTAGAGAATGGAGAGAGGTCAGTTTTACGTTGCGATAGTACGAAACTGCTGTATTTGGCCAACGGTCTAAGCTTATCTTCACTTCCTCGTCGTTGTCCGTTCCTGAGCAACACAGTGAGATAGCTGTACATTTCCTCCTTTGTTCCAAAACAGTATCTAGAGAAGTGTGCTGTTTACAGCACTTCATTTCTCCTGGCCTTAGTGATAAGCTGTCAGTTCAACATCTAGCAAGAAATGGCTTTGTAAAAGCATTTTTTTCTGATTGGTAATAATAATCCGTCAGTGCTCACACTTTGGATAACCGCTAGTGCTGTGAGCCACAACAAGGCAGCATACTCCTGCTTCATCAGCAGTCTGTGAAGCAGACTGGGGGCAGGGACAGCTTGTTTTAAGGAAGGTATTTTTCTATCTTTGTTCTTGCAGAACGATGTGGAGAAAGTCGTAGTGGTGATCCTGGATAAAGAGCACCACCCTGTGGAGAGATTTGTCTTCGAGATCACCCAGCCACCTCTTCTTTCCATTAGGTAAAGTTTCCATTCCTGCCCGTGGCATCCAACGCCTCTGAGCGGTGTTTGGAGGCAGCTCCAGGCCCCCGTGCTTTGCTGCACACCTCTAACAGCTGCTGTCTCCCCAACAGCTCAGAGTCCCTGCTGTCCCACGTGGAGCAGTTACTGCGTGCCTTCATCCTGAAGATCAGCGTGTGCGATGCTGTGCTTGACAACAATCCCCCAGGTAAACACGGCCATGCACGGCCTTGCTTGACTTGTGGCAGCAATAGGTGCTGTCCCCTCCTCTGGCAGTTGTCCCCTGATCTGGAGCCTACCATTTCTCTTGCAGGTTGCACCTTCACAGTTCTGGTTCACACACGGGAGGCTGCCACACGGAACATGGAAAAGATCCAGGTGATAAAGGTGGGTGAGATCTTTAGTTCCCTGACTGCGTGTGAGCAACCTGCAGAGAAAAGACTACAAATTAAAGAGTTTTTGGTATCTCTAAGGTTAAGGCCACTAGATTTCAAACACATACATCAGCTTAACATGATGCACTTCACAGTTTTGCTTTGCATGTGCTAAAATGGTTTACACTGAGGTGACTGAGCACATTCACCACACACCAGCCACAATTGCAGACAAAAGCTGCTTCAACACCTGAACTGAGGAAGGTAAGGACACTCACTGCACAAAGCCTGCCTGCTCAGAAGTACTCTGGCATAGGGAACGGGTACTTGAATTTAAGTAACAACAATAAAAAAAGCGCCTTTGCTTCATATCCACTGTGTTTGGATGGCTGATTCTTTACAAATAGCGAGGAAGACTAAGAGTCAAGGAAACTAGTGGGGTTTGAGTACACAAATATATTTTATCTTGCAGGAAAGCGTATACAGATCGCTTTTTAAAGCAGGACCCTTTTTTTAACGAATCCTTGCTTAGGTGCAGGGAAACTTTTTTCCCTAAGCCAAGTTATTTTGGGTGTCTTAAGGCACAATACAGCAAGTGAAGTACAGGATTGTTCCAAAGGAGAGTTTGCTCTGTACTGCTTAGTCATGGAAACCGGTAGTACAGTCGGCCAACCTTTCACCTTACAAGGCAGGACAGAAATAAATCCATGGCCTCAGCATTTTGGAGTTGCAGTTAAACAGTGGTGTAATGAACAGAATGTGCTAGTTCAGGACAGCTAAGAGTATATCTTTTAAGCACGTGAGATGTCACCGTTGGATAAGTGGGTTAACGTTATAGTTTGATGCTGTAACTAAAGCTAATTACACTGAGTCTCAGGGCCAAGTGTGCAATGTTTTAAGTTTTGCTGTTATGAAAGGTTTGAGTTACCCATTTCTTCCCTCAGCCACTAGATCTCCCATTCTCTTAACACTGATGTAGAGCTGAGGGCGAGCTCAGGGCTCACCTTACAGCCTCTGCCAGCCTCTCTGCAAATAAAGCACCTTGTGCTCCTGCCCCTAGGACTTCCCGTGGATCCTCGCTGACGAACAAGATGTGCACATGCACGACCCCCGGCTCATTCCCCTGAAAACGATGACATCTGACATCTTAAAGGTGAGTGTTCTGGCCCCAGAGGTGCCAGAAACTGTACGTGGTTTTAAGGCTTGTCTACTCTGATGCCAGCTCTGCAGTTTCTCCAGGGTGACAGTTCTAATACTGCTGAGCAGTAGCCTGTACTACAAATCAAAACAGGGCAAGACTCCTCATAATAAAATAGGAAACCTGGTTATGGGGGAAGGTACAAAATCCTCCTCTTTAGCTGTTGCGGACTTTTCTCCCATGCACCTACCTGCATGTCAAAGGGAGCTGATGCTTGTTTCTCTCCAGATGCAGCTGTACGTAGAAGAGCGAGCACACAAAGGCACCTGATTCCATATCTTCCTTGCCTTCAAGCCTCATCTGATCTTCCAGTGGAATAAGATACAACACAAACCATACCTTGATAACCGTCTCTTCAGCTGGCCTTCCGGGTGAATGTAGAGCAGCTGCTGCCTCGATTTCAAGTGCTCTTACCAGTGTATATAGAACTGACTTGGAATGTGGAGCCAGAGCCTGTTCCCCTGGACGCTCACGTGTGAGTGAGTGTAGGTTTTGTTACAGCCAGTCCCTGCAGCGCGGTCAGCGCTTTGTACAGATCCAGGTCTCACCTCAACAGGGCATCTCCACTGCACAGCGCAGCGACACAGCGACGGGCTCGTACTAAAGGTGAGCGAGGCCTTATGTAGTGTCTGTCCACTGTGACTGTCCCAACTAGTCTTCAATAAATATGAAGTTTTACTCCAGTTGAACTAGGCCGAGTTCTGTCCAAACCAGCCTCCCCCCCTTCACTGAGGAAGTATTTGTATTTCCCGTGGAGCTTCCACCACATTCCACACCTTTCCTGGAACACAGGTGGGATCTGTCAGTTCCCACAAGAGGCTATTACAACCTCTGTCTCCCCTTTCCACAGGAGAGCTTTCACCCACAAGTGGTATTAGCCAGGTGGAGTTTGTCTGTCAGCAAGGACACCTGACAAATGGACAAGGGAAACACTAATCCTACACCTACCGAAGCAGATGGAAGGAGGCCTTAGCATTGGCTCTGTGCATACAGGGGTACGAGACATGGTTTGTAGTATTTGAGCTGAGCTTGTTGCTCAGACAGTTTGATAAGACAGTGTAGTACCTGCTGCTTCCTCCCAGTAAAAAAAAAAAAGCAAGAATACAGATGCAGGTTGTGCACTGCTTTAACATTTTATATAGGGTTAGACTCTTCAGTACAAACCACATACTCTGGGAGTACAAAGGCAGCATGGAGAAAGCCCAGCACAATCAAAAGGCACTTATGCTGTGAGGTAACCACCTTCCAGGATTCCTGATCTCCTCTTTCTTTCTGTAGCTGTTTATTCAAACAATGCTGGGCTGTATTGGGACAGGGAAGGTATATACCTTTTTGATCATATATGCTTACAGAAACGGTAAGAAATTAAGTACTAATGACACAGCATTTCTGAAAAAGCATTGACTATTCCCTTATGAAAGAACTGACGTGAAAGATACATGTTTTTATACAGAATTAAAATGAAATGGGAAAATACTATACAAAATAAATCTCTCTGTAGCAGAGCCCTTCAGATTGATAATCTGAAATGAAACATTTTAGTCTTATCTTTCATAAGTTACATAAACAAAAAAAGAAAGGTTTTCCATTTAAGACAAGCATTTATCTGTAGCACAAGGACATAATAAGTAGAAAAGACGTGTCATTTAATTGTCCTAATGTTCCTCCTGTGGAAGGGCACTAGTAATTGCAGTAACATCCATGGTACAAGAGAATGAAAGAGGAAGACAAGTCCTTCCAGAGGGCTGGGCCTGCAGAAGTTCTGCTGCAAGAAGAACTGGCTGCTTCTATTTGGGATCATCTGTGCAAGACAAAGCCAGGACACCCACCAAGGAGTACAGAGAAATAAGTGCACCTGAGACCGCCCGGTTACAGTCCTGAGGTAAAAGCAGACACTTGTATTTCATACCCGCGTCAGGGGTCCGATGGTGATGCTGGTGTTCGTCACTCGGATCCCGTACCATCCTGCCCAGAACTGGGTGTCTTGGCCTCCATGCTGAAACCAGATGTAACGAACTCCAGGTGGGTAATTCTGGAAGGTGTGAGAAATCTGGAGAGAAAGAAGAAAATTCCTCTGAATTTGCTTAAATAAACCCATACTGACCTAGACACTCAAACAACTACAGTTATGGGAGTCCTGGTCTCAGGAAACACTCATTCTAAGGTATCTTTAATTGAAAGTGCACCATACCCCTTTCTTGAGGGATGGGTAAAAAGCCTCTCTCATTCGGGCTTCTGCCCTGAAATCCTCCCTAAGTCAAACGTAACCTTAAGCTTGATTCTTTGGTACATTTAGCACATAAGCAACAATGTAATGGGGAATCTACAGCCAGTCAAACCAATTAAACACATTTAGCAGTTTAAGGAAAGTAATGTCTGCAACACTTCAAATGACATCCATGCAGTAGTTTTAAAACAAAGCTTTTTGATCCAATAAAAATAAAACCCGTGCTCTTGTAACGTAGTTATTTAGACAAAAACTTAAGTGAAAAAAACAGAAACAATTAAAGAGATGGAGCTAAAATGACACAGGAGCCCAGGGGATCCTCTAGAGAATCCTGGGCACCTACTAAGGGAATATAGCTCCTTCACAGCACTACTATGTCTTCAGCGTCGTCAACAGCAAGGACTTCCTTTTGTATTGAGTAGAGGACGCTGAGGAGCAGAGAGAGAAGGTCCACTTGGGACTTTTGGCCAGGTAAGACTTGCAGGATTCAAGTGTCAAACACTGATACCAAGCTATTGCCCCCAGGGCTGCTGCTCACCTCTCTCCACATGGCATCACTCCACTGCTCTATGACCACTGGCTCGGGGTGGAACTCCTCAAGGACAATGTAGTCTTTAGAAAGCAGCCTCACTGTCAGCTCGTAGCGACACCCACAGTCAAACCTGGCAGAATACCTAGAGGGGAGGAACCAAGGAGCAGGGTTGTATCTACAGCATTCAGTTTTCTTTGGTATTCAAAACCAGTATCCAAGGGGATCCCTGTCCCCAGAGGAAAAGGAATGTCATCCCCACAGCTATGAAAAGGTTCTAAAGCTTCCACCTGTCCTGCTTGTCACAGCCCACTGAATAAACTCAGATTTAGTTCATGCTTTGCTCAACAGCTACAACTCCCAAAGGATAAAGAGCTAATTTTACAACATGAAAAGCTCCGGAGGCCTAGCTTAGCTCTAGGCCAATGCCAGAAATTCTAGTTTTCAGAGCGTACACTTACCAGTCCTTGACTACAATTTCAGGCCTTTTCTCATCCATCAACTGATTCCAGTATCCTTCTTTCTGCAGGTTAATGAGTTGAGACTTGAAGCATGGCCTGCACGAGCAAAAGAAATAGTCACACTTTCACAAAACACATCTCTTCCCTCTTAACGTCCACACTTTGCCTGACAGTTTTGTTACCAAAAGCCCAACCAGACCCTGAAGGCCCACGAGGCTGACATGGCCAAGGCACGTCATTTTGTGTAGCCAGAACTAGACAAGGAAGTGATCAGCTTCACTCCCCATAAAAGCTGGATTAAGAGGGGTCCCTGTGCTTGTACAGTGTATATCCAACAGGAAACTGCTGCTTAATGGATGTAAAAGCAGTTAATCTCCCTCTGTTGACAGCTTTTATTGCAAGCTGTTACCATGACAGACACACCGACCATTCCTAGAGGTTACAGAGCTTTGACCTCATCAGGTAAAGCGCACATAATTAGCATACTTAACCTTTGCCCACCATCTCTGGCAGAAGAGAAGCAGAGATCCCATGTGGGTTATCATGACTATAAAAGTTACAGGGAATTCTTGGTAGGGACAGAGGAGTTCAGCACGTGCTGCGATTCTCTCAGCAGCACACCTGTCTCTTTAGACTAACTAGTATAAAAGGTTAATTAAGCTCCTTTTTCCCACCCATGGGCCAAGGTTCAGTGACCTGCCTCCAGACACCCAACTTCAGAAAGCAGGAGGAATCAGGTCTTCCAGCTCCAGGTTACTGGAATCCAGCTCTTACCCATAGGAAGTGACAAAGTATTTGTGTACTTCGGGGTCTGGCATCATATTTCCATGAGCTCCAGGCAGATCCTCAATCTTCCATTTATCTCCTTCATTTTTATCAAGTTTCCAGTGCTGAAATTTCTCTATAAACATAGATACCAACATGAGTGTTAGGACCTCACTTCAGCTTCCAGCAGTATCTGCTTTTGCTACAGACTCGGGTGGAGTGACTACAGCTGGGAGTGACTCCTGCTTTACTTTGCCATTACTTTTAATGGGGCTGTCAGCAGCTTGGACAACAGGTAGCAACTTTCTGACCACATCAGAAACTCATAATCAGTAATAAAGTAGAATTACTGTAATCATATTAATCAAGCCTTTGCCAAAAATGTCCCCCAGCTGCCTGAATCTTTAGTCCCAACACCCAACAGCCTCATCACCATATTGCAGTTGCTGTGCACATTAACCGTCGCTGCCCACAGCTCTGGGCCTTCCTCACCACGGGGACTTTTCTGGTCACAACCACAGACATGTATTTACCAGAACCTCATCCACCCACGGCACTTTTATCGCAGGCGTTTGCTCGTGGCTCTGAGCCCACAGAGCCCCAGCAGCATGGTCCTGGAGCACCAGCAGCACTTGAGTAACACAGAACACTGACTCATGCTGATGGAGAGGAAACTCTTAGCTTCCTGCTATAAATAATGAAACAAACCTTCGGCACAGGGGTTTTTGATTAAGTTTCTCTTCAAGTTGCAGAGCATGTAGAAGATCTTCCAGTCAGTGATGCTTCTGTCCAAATTCTGCGTGTAAAACCCCTCTCGCTGGCACTTGCGCTTCCACAGGGTGGTCAGGTCTACCACGTACCGCCACTGCCTGCAGACCAGCCTGCAGGCGCGGAGCAGGTCCCGGGCCGGGAGCAGGGACAGCAGCTCCACCAGGACATCCTCGGGGAGGTCCAGGACGGTCGTCATGGCAGACCGACGGCCTCCGCGCCGGGCTACGCGGCGGAAGATCCCGGGGACCCTACAGCGCCGGGCTTCGGGAAAGAAGCAGCGTTTGCACGAATTAATCCCGTGACTCCGTCACGAACCGCGCCCCCCCCGCGTCCCCGTCCCTCCCCGGCCTCCACCCGGCCCCACCTGGGCCCTCCGGACGCGGATGTTCGGCGGCGCGGCCCTTCCGCAGCGGGCGGAGCGGGGGGCGGCCCCACGGCCCCGCCGAGACCGCCCCTCTCTCGGGAGCCCGGCCCCCCCCGCCGCAGAGCCGCGGCCGCCCGCACAGCAGCGAACACGGTAGGAGCGGCCGGCGGCTCCCGGGGGACGGGACGGGGGGCACCGCCGGGCGGTGGGGGCTCGGGAGGGAAGGCACTGGGAGGGGGGACAGGGAACCGGAGCGCGGCAGGGGATGGGCGCTACCGGGGGAAGGGGGCTCTGCCGGTGGTGGGCCGGGTCTCGGTACCGAGAGTCGGGGTGGAAGAGGGAAGCCGGGCGGGGACCTTCACCGGGAACGGGGGGAGCGGTAAATGCTCCATCAGCGGGGGGGAGGCGTGCGGGACCCCTGCAGGGCAGGACGCCAGCATGGGCGCTCTTTTTTCCTTTTTTTTTTTTTTTCCTTTTTAAAATAATGACATTTTACCCTTCAGGGCTGCGGTTGAGCGGTAGAAGGTGTGTGTTTGGGAGAGAGTCCCCAGTGCTACCCCTATAAACGCCAGGGAATTTTAACTGACAGTTTCCTCCTGCTGTCTGCAGTGCAGCTCTGCCTCTGGAGCACCCAGATTTAGGATGCTGTTAGAGCAGTGACTCCTTATTTCTTCCCCCCATTCCCAGATTGAGCACTGCTGTATTTCATCAAGCAGCATGTCAGGATATTTCACCTGCTTTGTTCCTAGTGCTCTGCAAGGCTCAGTGACTCACTCCTGAGGAGTTTGGCTGCATCTAGACAGCTCCCTGCAGCCTGGGCAGCCTCCCAGCAGGACTCAGCTGGGATCAAAGCAGTGTCACAGTGTGTCCCACACTGATGACATGGGGCTCTGAATCTGCGCACTCATCTCATCCTTAACTCCTGCAGCACCTGGCCCTGGAGCTCAGGGCAGCAGAGAGCTGCTGGGAGTCAGCATGGAGAATTAGCACTTGAAGTTAAAACACACACTTCTGACTTAATTGCCTGGTTATAAGGCCATAGGAAAAAGGAATATTAGAGAGTATCAGCTGAGTTATTTCGTGTTGTGCTCAGACCTATGCTTTATCCAGGCTCATGACTAAGGAAATTAAGTGCCAGCCCCTTGAGGCAAAGTTTTTCAGATACAGAACGAGCCACTGCAGATGTGGTTGCCAAGATGCTCATACTGATACCTGGGTACTGCTCTGCAGCATTTGTTGCCAGGATTGTTCTTAGAGGCAGAACAAACACCCAGATACCCCCCTCTGCAGAGGAAATCATTACCAAGAAGCTGATTTCTGCAGCAACAGAGATTTCTGGAAGGACTGGTTCCAGTCTGGGAAGCTGACAAACTGTCCACAATTGCAGATGTCAATCCCTTGCATTTTGTGGATAGATTTAACTGAGGGCTTCACTTAGAACATAAAATATTGATCTGCTCACGTGCTACAGGGTATTAACTTCATGGGGGTCAGGAGGCCTTGAGGTTAGGAAGCAATCTGTGTCCCCAAAATCTGCTTTCAGATAACATGCTTATTTTCCTTTTTTTCTAATGCATCAGTGTTTGACACCACCGAGGGTGGGGGGACCCCATGTCCGAAGGACCACTGTGTCACCACTTCTTCCCCCCCTTCTCTCTCAGAAAGTTCCACCCAGCCAGGCCCAAGGATGGAGTCCCTCCCTGAAGCAGTCCTCATCAGAATCCTGGCTTCCCTACCTGCGGTGGATTTGGTGCTGGTGTGCCGCCTGGTCTGCTGCCAGTGGAAGAACCTGGTCGATGGAGCTGCGCTTTGGATCCTGAAGTGTCAGCAGGAAGGCCTCACTGGAGCAGAGTCAGAGGAAAATGCAGAGAACTGGCAAAACTTCTATTTCCTGAGTAAGAAAAGGAAGAATCTCATCAGGAACCCATGTGGTGAAGGTGAGAGACAAGCATAACAAGCCCCCAGATTTCACAGAGATGACCAGGCACTGGGAATTGACATCTCCAGTCTTTGACAAGAGGCCTTAGTTGCCACCAGGTTGCAGCAGTTTCCTCTCACCCAAGAGTCAAATTGCTTAATGCATGCGGTCAAATCATTTAAAGGGCATGAAGGCCTTAGATACTCAGTCTTTGCAAAGGGCTCTACTTGACATCAACCTTATATGAGCCCCTGCAGGGATACAAATGTCCTTTGCAGACCCCCTGTCCCAGTGATGGTAGTGGCACCTGGGTTTCCACATTGCTTCTTGTCAACCCAGGACAGGAAAGATCAAGCCTTTCCCCACTCAGGAGCCAGTCTGCCCTTGGCTCACCAGGCACTTCAGGCTTCCTTCCTTGAAGCAGCTCAGGCACGTTGTGTTTGTACCCTCCTTACCACATCCCACATTACAGAGCTGTGCCCAAACCCCATCTGCCATTATTCCGATAGTCCATGAACTTCACTTGCCAGATCTACAAGACCCTTAGCAATAAGCAGCAGTAACCAAGCCTCATAACCCAAGCAGCAACAAACACATTTCACACATCACAGACCAAAGCAATACCGAGACAGCTTCTCCATTTTGTTTACAGCTTATTTTTCTGCAAGTTTTTCCAACAGCCACATTCCCTCTGGCTAATAGCAGAAAACCCCAATGTTTAAGGCCATACTGCTTCTAGAAATACCACTCAGCAATTTAGAAACTGTAGAAATAAAGCAATCAGCATCTCTCCCCAGGCTATTCTATGTTATGACACTGAAAGTGCTGAGACATGGTTCAGAATGCCTAAATATTTTTACTGGAATACTTTCTTAAATAAACACACACATACACAGCCATTTTGGTGGGGAAAACTTTGTTAATATTAAGTTGAACCAGACTAAATGTTTTTTGCCTGAGCTCTACTTAACAAACATCTCCATACACAATTAGTGCTGCATCTAACAACATACCTGCCACCAGCCAGAGAAGGGTTCTAGCAGGAGGTCAGGTTCCCCAGGCCCACAGAAATTAAGACTCATCCAAATCTCTTTTCTGCCACCTGCAGACGACTTGCAGCACTGGGGAGAGGTAGAGAATGGAGGTGATGGCTGGAAAATTGAAGAGCTCCCTGGGGACTTTGGAAAAGAATTCCCTAGTGAAGAAGTCCATAAATACTTTGTTACATCTTATGAGTAAGGGTGCTTTCTTCTCTTACTCAAGGAAGGGGACATTTCTGGTTCCCCCAGTCTCAGAAGAAACTGTGATACCAATTAACATCTCGTGTTTCAGGTGGTGTCGGAAGGCTCAGGTCATTGACCTCAAGGCTGAGGGCTACTGGGAAGAGCTGATGGACACAACCCAGCCTAAAATTGTGGTAAGAGACTGGTAAGTAGCAAGGATGCCTCAGAAGGCAGGCAGGGAGGGCATATACCTGCACTGGGCCTTAAAACCTCAGCCATCACATTCCCCAGATGTGGGACAGGGCTGGGTCTGGGCTTACAGACCCACCAGCAGCTCCCACGGGCTTCAACCTTGGTGCATATGGCCACCAAAGACCAGGTTCCTGCTGGGAATGAGGGGAAATGGTGGGCAGGGGTAAGAATCATTACAGATTTCCACCTCAAACCAGTGTCCCAGTAACTTGATGAGATTGGTAGAGCCCACACTCAGCAAGATGGAAGTGCATGCTCTGGCTCTTTGCCGAGCTCACACAAGCTGGGAGCTTGGGTCTCCTTGCAGGTATGCAGGACGCAGCGATGCCGGCTGCCTCTATGAGCTCTGTGTGAAGCTGCTCTCGGAGAACGAGGATGTTCTGGCCGAGTACAAAAGCGAGACTGTTGACATCCCACAGGACAATGATGCCAACTGGACTGAGGTGAGTAACAGCTGTGGGCTCAGGAGGTGACACCCAACCTGCATGAATCGGGACTACTTTGAAGCAGAGAGAAGCAGGAGAGTTCTCCTGGAGGAGGAGAAGGCTCTGTCATGTCTGCGCAGCCATGACCCTGTGATTGAATGAAGGGATTATTAATGGAAGGCTACCTTACATAAAATTTGGAAACTTCCTGAAACACCACTGCAGGTGTAAGATGAAGGAGATGCCCAACTGGGAGAGGTTCAATGGCCTCTGAACAACAATGGGATCAGAGCTCCTTCCAGTAACTCCCACTGTAAATGTGCTCATTGTTACCCACCCTGGTAGGTATGACCTGGGCAGGGGGGGCTGCAGGCTCTGTGCACTAAGGGAGGGTAGGTTCACGGTGGTTTGACACTTGCCAACAACCATTTTGTCTCTTGCCCCAAAGATCTCCCACACTTTTTCCAACTACGGCCCGGGGGTTCGCTTTGTGCGCTTTGAACACGGTGGGCAGGACACACTGTTCTGGAAGGGATGGTACGGCGTCCGCGTCACCAACAGCAGCGTGACAGTGGAGCCCTAGCTGTGCTGAACGGGGGCCTGCATGCTGCAGCTGACTTCCCTCAGGGCATCCCATGGCCTTTGGATGGTTTCTCCATGGTGCTGCTTCCAGGCTGTAGAGCATACAACCTTTCTGCATATGAATGCACGTGCAAGATGCCAGGGGCCACCAGCCATCTTCCCTCAAGTGGACTATGCAAAGAACAGGAATAGAGCTGTGAGTGCACCACAGGAGTCTCAGGCTCACCCACTTGCACTGATGTTCTCCGTCAGACATGAGATCACCTGAAGATCCTGCAGACCTTACTTCTCTCCTAAGCCTAACCCCTAGCACCCAGCCCAAGCTAGACACCTCTCCTGCCTGCTTCCCAGATTTGGGCACTCCTTAATTTCAAATGATAGCTTGGGCATATTTTTTGGAAGTTAAAGAGTGGGGAAAAAAGGAAGAAAGAAAAGCATAGACCTTGTGTTTGAGAACATACCAGGGAAACCCAGAGCCCTCTCATCTTTGTCATCACCTGCTTCCATGACCTGCAGTGAGAACCTTAGCTTCTCCCATTTATAAACATAGATGTCATTATACTTGCCTCATAGGAGCTCTAGCCTGGTTGCCAAGTGCTATTAGTTTAATCTTTAGGGATGACAATGCAAAGCAGTAGGTATTGGATCCTTTTCTCTTACACTGTTCCCAGCATCCATTTATCAAGCAAAATGTTGGGAGCCGAAACCTCTCTGCTGTCCAACCCTGGGGCTTCATTTGGCTCCTTCAAACAGATGGCAATGGAGAGCAATTACTGGGAGAGAGACAACAAGGACTTAGGGAAATGGGTTAGAAGCAAACTGAGGGGCACCAGGAACAAATGAAAACAAACCTATCTACCCCTTCCTGGCCTCTGCATGCTTCATGCAACAAGCACCCTGGTCCTCCAGTATGACTCTGCAGGCAGGAGATACTCTTCACGCAGAAAGCTGTCGTTAGCCCCACTTGATCTCAGTTCTTCCTGCCTGCTGACAACGTCTGCAAAAAGTACACGTCTGCCTCCATTCCATATGCTCACTGACAAGACAGCATCGTACCTACTCCCACTAGTGCCTCTGCTATCACTCAGGGCTGCCAGGCACCATCCTGAACAGACACCTGAGCTTCCCTGAGCCACACCTCTCCAAAGAGCATCCCTGTAATAGAGCTGGTGCTGCCTAGAGAGACAGGCACTTAGATTTTTGTGTCCATCTGTCTCTCTTCCCTTCCTGGGCTGGGCACTTAGATTTTTGTGTCCATCTGTCTCTTTTCTCTTCCTGGGCACCAGCACGTACACACTTGAACGCCCCTTTGCATCGAAGTGCACCGTTACACACAGAGTGCACTGGTATAGCTGGAGCCAAAGGAGACAGCTTCTGAGCTGGTCACACCATGCACCTCTGCTTCACCAGCCTTCCTGCACCACTGCACCTGCATGCCTGGGGCACACCGGCCTCCTGGGCCACAGCCACGCCAAGCCAGAGCCCAGGCAAACATAATAAAATGACACAGCTGTGTGTGGATCCTCCCTTGTGTGCTGGGTGTTTGTGTCCTGTGCTTTTTCTGTTCAGTTATGTGGAGCCATGTCAGCCAATCCATCCAAAACAGGAGTCATTGTGTCTTGGATAACACCATGAGTCTCCCAGAAAGAGGTGCGTGCTCCTGACCCAGCAGCTTGAACCTGTCAGAAGCACTTGATGGGCGAGGGGTCTGCAGAGCAGCAGCAGAGGGGCACTTAAAGCGTAGTGGGAATTCATGCACAGCATGGAGGTGGTCTGGGAAGGCTCCTACACAGCCCAGCCCTGACAGATGCCCTCCAGGTCATCTCTAACTGTAGCTCTACTGCAGCTCAGCCTTGGTTCTGACCCAGGAGAGACCAGCACTTCTTCAGAATTTAACTCCTTCCCCTCCATTACCTCTGCACACACTCACACAAGGCACCTTTGTCCACCACAGCCATTAATGAAGCTGACAAATGGTGCTAGTTAATATTCAACTCACTGCCAGTCCTCTGCCCCACAGAAGAAGTTAGGCCTCCATGTGTGCCTGAGGAATCAGTACAATGAGGGGATCAATATTCCACATCGTGATGCAATTGTTAGCCAGGATCTCAGTCAGGATAAACCCCAGGATTAAGCCTTCAGATACTGTGTTCCTTGTAAATATGGGGTAGGGCCATGGTCCCCACTTTAGGCTTATCTGGGCTGAACTTCTAAACAGACACAGCCTCCCCAGCAGCTCAGCTTCCCCCAATCCCCCCCTCATTCCAGCAGGGCCGATGTTCACATCAGCTGTCAGGGTCACACACATACATCCAATTCCAAGGTGATGTCAACTCATCTGTCCAGGACGAGCAGAGCGCAGGAGGTTAATGGGGCCTCACATGTTACAGACTCATGGAAATTGAGAGGATGCAATTTCATAGGATTACAGAAAGTCAGGGCAACTGTAACAAAAGGGTTTAGCTGTATTAAAGCTCCCAGCTATTGAAGGGCTTTATCACACACAGCTTCAATGAGGGTTCCTTCTGCTTTCTATTGTGCCAACACCAGCAAGCAGCTGTGTGACACCACGTAGTAGCTCTTGGGAACACTGATGACCAGTGCAGATCCGTGTGTGGTACAGGCAGAAAGATGTCTGTCCCCAAGCAATTTATAACCAATATTTTCATCACCCAGACTCCGAAATCTGAACAATAAACCACAAAAATTGAGCATTGCTGTAGTATTCATGCTGGAGAAAACCAAAACCACACAAAAGGGGTCTCCTCCCAGTCCTGAACATGGCAACAAAAGCTGTACAAAGGGCTCCTATTTCCTGAGCACAAATCACAGTGCACACCACAGCTGTCTCAGGCAGGCCACCGAGCTGAGCAGTGAGCTACACTGAACCAGGAATGGAAATATCCTCCAAAACACCCCACACTGGAACAAAACTGCTGGATGATGAGAACCGGAAAGAGAGAGTTTAAGACTCACTCTTGGCCAAGACATGGGCACAAACACACCTCTTACCCTGGCTGCTTTAACACTCACACACCAGGAGAAGAGGAGAAACCCTCCATACAGCACTTCTCACAGCCCTTTCCTGCTCCCAGCAGCGGTGCCTCATGTCCTACGTAGACAATTGCATCTCAGGGGCTGCTGTTGTGCAAGATCCCACTGTAATTTTCTTTTCTACTAAACCCACCAGTCCTGGCTATAAATGCTGTTATACTTAAAAGAGTTTTTCCTTTCATAACAGCTCCTACAGCAAGTCTCTTGCAGAGGAACAGAGCAAGATGGGGCCCTGGCAAGGAAGCTCTAGCATACATCTCTTGTCAAGTCTAATTGAATTTTTCTATATGAAGCATCTATTATTACCCACCTGGGGGAACTGTGGGCAGATGGAGGAGTTTGCTTCCCCACCAGGCATTCAAGACTGGGGATGGGAGGGATGGGGGAGAAAAAAAGACAACTATCTGACAATTCCCTGTTGCTTACAGCCCAGCTGTTCTAGCCAGCTGTAAAAGGGACAATAGTTTAGGAGACTGATTCTCCTTAAATCAAAGAGCTTGTAGAGGCTGGGAATGGCACCTCCTGAAAGCCAGGGTAGCAGGACATCAGCCCCACCTGCAGCAGAAGCTTCCAGCCTAAAGCTGCAGCCAAGATGAGTATGGTCACAAATGGGATGGAAAGCCAGTGACTTATCCTTGCATTTGGGCCCACAAACCTGTCAGGGTTAGAAAACCTCCAAAGAACTGGAAAACACTGGGCTAGTGAAGAAATATCCCCTGTGCACCCACCTCCCTGGCAGTTCAGACACAGCCATTCCCACACCTCCTTCACTGCTGTCCTGCACCATACAGATACCTCAGGAAAAGGCAAAGTCCACGGGTGAGGAGCACTGGCACTGAGCTCACCTCCTGCTTCTTCTCCCTCCACCCAGCCAGTTCCTCCTTATGTCCATGGGGCAGCAACCACCCTGTCCTTCTCAGTCTCCTTAGCTGTTAGGGAAAAAAGGGCCTGAAGATGCTTTCCTACTGGGGAGGCATTTTGGAGTTACAGGGAGAACAGCTTCCCAGAGCTCAACTGGGAAGTCTCAGGGAAGCTGGAAAGCATGATGACTGCCTGAGAGCTGGGCTCCTTCCACAGCGTCCTGCGGGTAAAGCAAAGGCACCCAGACAAACCCAAACAGGACAGACAAGGTACATGGTCAAGATGGGTGTGTGAGGAAGAGATGTCACAGGAATAGAAAAGCCAGACACAGCCATGAAAGCACACATGCACCCTTCTGGGCTGAGAATCAGCCTCCCTCGTTTTTTGAGGCAGAGTTTTGTGTCAGGCACAGATTGCGGTGGAGTAAAAGCCTGCAGTAACAACAGCCCCACTGTCCCTGCTTTCTCCTCCAGCGGGCTGACAGCCCCCAAAGGACACCGCTCCGAGCGCAGCCCGTCCCCCAGGGCGATGTCCGACGCCCCCCGTGTGCCCCGGTGTGTCCCGCGGAAGGGCACTCCCGTCGGTGCGGCGGGACGGCAGAGGGCAGTCGGGCTGCAGCACAGCCCCGAGCCGCGGGCTCCCGCTTCCCGCGCCCGAGAGATGCTCAATAGTCGTAAGTGTGCCACTAAGTGTTGAATTCCTGATCGCTGCACCTCGTTTCTTCTGGCTGCAGCTTTGGCTCAAGTTCCCCTTCTCTCTTCTTGCCCCATTAAGTGCCTGCTGTCATGGTTTGCAGAGCAGCTTTTGCTTCACAGACCCTTATGTCTCCCTGCCACCTGGGACACCCCATGCATCTTGGAAGCACAGTTCCCTCTTGGGCAAGAGACACTCACGACACACTTGCTTGGGACGCCAGCAGTCTTTTAAACTGTAACGCACTGACCAGAGAGCAGTGGAAGCTTTCCTGAACACAGATCAAGGCCTGCCTTTCTAATTCAATTAGAAGCAGCACAACTCGCCCAACACTATCCTTGATTTATTTAGAGTTATCGGTCAAATCAGTAACATTCCCTTCCTTGCAGAGTATCTCCTTACTTAATCCAGCCCATGAGACTCAGAAGAATCCCACCCAGGACAGCAGGGCTGTCTGCATCCCCATCCATACTGTGCCCAGGCACACACAGCCACTTTGCTGCCTTCCTTGCACAGGAAATTCAACAGCCCTCCCCAGCGAGGCCAGAGTCCCTGCTGTATTACACGTGCCCTTGGCTAACCTCCCTTGCAGGCACTTAGAGCAACTCATCTGGAGCTGCTATCTGTGCAGACCCATTAACCACCGCACAATCAGTGTTCCCAGAAAGGCAGAGGCCACAATAAAGTCATAAGAGTGCTCGCTGGACTGATGGATCGTCGGGGAACGCATCTAACTGCTGCAGGAGCTCGGTGCTAACCAGGGAGGGGAGGGAGTGAGATGAGTGAGATGCCTCCCCCTGAGCGTATTGCAGAGGTAGGTACCATCTTCAGAAGAACCAGGAGAAGGGAACATGCTGTGAGCAGCTCCCTGAGCCAGCTGTTGGCAGGGACTGGGCAGTGGGATGGGTTGTACGAGCACTCACAGGTAGGTGCAGGGCAATGCACAGGGGCAGATAAACCCACAGGCATCACACACAGCCACAGCCACACAGAGTGTTTCAGAAACACCAGTTTGACCTTCCTGTACTGTCTGGATCCTGATGTCTTCTGACACTGACCACCACAGGGAACTCTCACCTGCTGTCAAAAGAGACCTGCCTCTGGTTGGCACTGCCATGGACCCCACAACATTTCCTTTTGGCTTCCCATAGCTCTCTTCCCTGTATGCCCAGGGCTGCTATTGCCTAAGGAGCAAGGAGATGAGAGCCAAGAGCATCATGGCCCACTGCCCTGCGGGGAGAGGCTAGTTCTCCTGAGCACAAAGCCTCTTCTCTGAGGAAGGGCAGGAGATGGGGGTAGAGGAAGGATGATATCAGAGCTCTGCCACTTGCAATCCTTCCAAAAGGTCCTGAAGTCAAGCGGTGCCATTTCCAGCTCACCACACACCATGCAGCTCCTCTCGTTAATACTGACACATGAAGCATTGCAAAACGAAGCAGATAAAATCCTGATCCAGATATGAGTAATGACTTTGCATTTTTTTGTAAATTAAACCTAATCTTGTGTTCACTGTGCTATACAAGGAGAAATAATGAAACAGATTAAGATGAGATCTTGTTCACTCTTGCTGAACAAAAGCAAATTAATTGCCAGCAGGATCATTGTGAAGTCTCTCTCGTCT